TCGAGGGGCGCGCACCCCTCTGGCGCCCCTGGCCAGTCCCCCAGCCCCCGGCACGCAGTGTCCGGCCTCCCTCAGGAGTTCTCCCCAGCACTAGGCCCGCGTGGCTCACCCAATCCCTGCAGAGCTGGCGTCCCGGGTCCTCCCTGCCTCCCCCACTCCATCAGAGCCCCCCAGCGGCAGAAGAGGCTGCAGGCGCCTGGTGACCCACAGTGAGAGGCCCAGGGCTGACCACAGGGAGGACTCCTCATTCCTCCTCTTCCGCCTCCCCCCTCCCCCCCGCCAGGAGCGCTGGCTTTGTCCACAAGGCCAAGGTGCAAACTCGAGTGGGGGCTCTGGGGGCCAGAAACTGCTCAAGCCTCCTGGTCTGCACTCCATGGGAAAGAAGGTCCTTTGTCCCCAAATCTGGAGCAAGGACATGGGCCTGAGGAGCCCTCAGGAGGCTGCTGGCAGGGAGGTGGAGCCAGGAGGCAGGTCAGACCAGCCGAGGGCAACCGGATTGGTTGTGCTGCATGTGTCAGGGTTTAAAGCAGCCCCCTGGCCTGCCACGGCCTCACCCCAGGGTCGGGTGGGTCTCAGGAGCTCCACTGCAGGGTGACTCCTGGGTCCTCGCAGAGCCGGCTGTAGCCGTGGCTGGCCCGGAGTGGGTCGCCTGTCACCCTCACTCAGCAAATGGTGCCGGCCTGGCACATCCAGCTTGACGCAGAGTAGGAAATAACGGTAGATAAGGGTCGTGCCACACAGGCAGCCTGGGGACAGATCCCAACCCTGCCCCTCACGCCTGGGTCTGGGGGGTGGCCGGCTGCTGCTCAGAGACTCGCCTCGAGGCCGAGACTCCATGGGCTTGAGAAGCGGACGGTGAGGGCTCCCTCTAGGGCTGGTGCGTCCGGCCTCCTCACACCTCTGCACGGTGGCCCTGGGCAGGCACAGTGTGGGCTCCATTCTGCAGATGAGAAGGCAGAGGTTCTGGGAAAAAGTCATGCTGAGCCCAGCGAGGAAGGAGCAGAGCCCCCTGCCCACTCACCTGGCGGGTGTCCAGACATCATGTGGCTTGAACTCTAATTCTGGCTGGCAGCTGAAGACAGCATGTGTTTGCCTGTCACCAGCCAGCGGCGGACACGCACCCCGTGGTGCATGGGTGGGAGCTGTGAGGCCGTGCAGGTGTGCAGACTCGAACAAGGTGTCAAGCAGCACCGAAGCCCCTTCCCTGCCATCGGGTGCAGGGAGCCAAGGCACAAAGGTCACCGCGCTCCAGGGTGACCCAGCACTGTTGGTTGGTGCTGAGAATTTGGAGGACACAGTGGTGGCAGCTGCCTGGCTCTCCTGGGGCAGGCAGAGTGACAGCTGTCTGGGGCAGGAGCTGCATGGCATTCCAGCGTTTCTGCACCTCCCTAAACCAGAGCCTCCTCTCGCAGCTGAAGGGGTGAGGGAAAGGGGTGCCGGCACCTGCCCCTTTGCTCCCACTATGGTCCAGGGAATAGCCCCTGTTGGTTCCCACTGGCACCGATGCCATCTGCTGGGCGGAGGAGAGATGCCACAGGGCTATCCCTGGTTGGGCCCAGAGCACATAGGTGAAGGCAGCTCCAGCCCTCCGAGGCCCACCCACACAAGGGACGGGAGGCACCAGAACTGGGAATCAGGCTTGGGTCTGCTCTAGCAAGTCTGGTTCCTCTCAGGGCCTCAGTCTCCTCCTCTGTCACATGGGGAAGGCAGAGGCACCCACCCCACCAGCCCTGAGGGACCCAGCAGGGCAGAGTAAGAAGAGCCCTTGGCACATGGCTTGAGCTGGACAAAGGCCCACACGTGGAGTGGTTTTCAAGACACGCCCAGTGCCGTGGGGCTCCGAGAATGAGAGCGCACCTCTGTGGCTGGGCCAGGAGGGCTGTGACCACAGCATGAACGGGGGAGGACACCCGGGCAGCCTGAAGAGGCCTGGAGTCTGAGGGCGCGTGGCCCGCAGGTCTGGTCCGGCTGCTGCCGGGAACAGGTGAAGGGGAGTGGTGCGGAATGGCCGCTGGGAGACAGAGGCCACGGGAGGCTACACACAGGAAGGACCAGGGACACCCACACACGTCTCTGCTGGCTCTGAGTCCGTCCAGGTTCAGTCCGTGTGGCCTGGCCTGGCCTGACCCTGCCCCATAACCCCATCCTCCACCCCATGTCTCCAAGGGAAGCAACACCCCCCTCTCTTCCACCGGGCCTCCCTTCCACTCCCCAAGCCAGTCACTTGCCCTGCTCCAGGGAGAGCCGAGGGTCATTTCAGTCCTGTTCAGAGCTGGACGCCTCCCCCAGAGCCAGCTGGTCTGTGTCCAGGCCGCCAGGCTCGGACAGGAGCCACACACAGGCCGCCCCCTAGGAGGCAGCTCATGTTCCAGCCTTTTTGCAGGGGCTGCTCTGGCTGCCAGGACCAGCCACCTGCCCCCCAGGGACAGCCTTCCTCGGCCCCTTCCTCCTTAATGACTGCAGCACATGTACAGCTCTGCTCCGCCACTCCCCCGGCTTCTTGCCTTCCCGAGCTCACAGCCCTGACCCTGGAGTTTGCAGCTGCAAAACACATGAACACACACACTTCCACACATGCACACTTCCACTCGCACACGCACTCACACACTTACACAGACTCACACACTTATACACACGCACGCACGAACCAACTGTGGAATGTTTTCCTGCTCCCGAACAGGTTTATGGCTCTGCAGTGCCCTGGTCGCTGCCCCTCCCAGCACCTGACATCTGATCACAATCCTCACCGCTGTCCTGCAGGCCTCGAGAAGGAGGCTGGGTCTGAGCAGAAGCTGAGTAGGAAAGGTGAGGAGCAGAGGTGAGGAGTAAGGACGACTGGGGCCTCCAACATGACAGCCCAGCAGCGCGTGCCTCCCACCCAGAGCCGCACACACAGCAGGCCTGGTTTTCCCATTTGGAAAGAGAAGCAGGCTTCTCCGAGGCCAGACTGCAACGCGCAACAGCCCCGCCTGCTTGGACATTCATTCATTCTTCTAACAAGTCATCCGTGCGGCTAGTGCTGGTTGGACACTCTCAGGGCATTGGCCTGGCCGTGGGGGTGCCAGGGTGGGGCACAGCCAGTCAGCCCCCCGCCCTGGTCTTGCAGTCCAGGAGAGCAGCCTGGGCAACACAACTCCTGCCTGTGGGCGACAATGGCAGGTCTAGAGCAGGCGTGATGCGGCGTGTGGGCATGGCAGTCGTTCGCTGGACTTGGGGGGCTTCCTCCACAGATGCGCCCTCGAGGCTGCAGTCCACGTGAGCAGGCTTCATCAGAGCAGAGGCGGGAAAAGGCGTGCCTTCCTACAAGGGAGAAAGGGACTGGGAGGGGCCGAGAGTGGGAGTCTGGGGTGTGTGGGGGGCTGGGGCAGGCCCAAGCCTGAAGGTCAGTGGTCTCCATGCTTAGACTTCCCCTGAGGGCTGCAGATGCTCCGGAAGGTCTTGAGCAGGAAAATGACATGACCACAGGTGTCAATGCGAACGTTTCATCCCAAACAGCAGGAGTGGGCTCCAGCCAGGCTCAGAGGAAGAGGAGACGGGGACAGTAATAGGGGATAGGAGAGGGGACCCAGCAGGACTCAGAGCAAGGCGCATTGTGGCCCCTCGGCACAGCCTGCTGCTGAGACCCACAGTGCCACTGGGTCCTGCTCCAGCTGTCACTAGGCCCCAACTCCAAGTCCCAGGGTCGCCAAGCGTGGTGTACTCACACATGAAGCACTACCCACCCTGCAGCCCAGAGGGTCCTGCAGACCTTACATGAGTGAAGTCAAGGAGGCCAGGACCAGGACCAAAGAGGCCAGCATACAGCCCAGCAGGGCAGAGTTCAAGCGCAGTCAGGGCTGGACATGGCCCGTCAGTGCTGAGTTCTAGAACAGGCCGGGTCAGACATGGTCTACCAGTGCTGGGTTCTAGAGCACGTAGGGTCAGACATGGTCTACCAGTGCTGAGTTTGAGAGCATGTAGGGTCAGACGTGGCCCATCCGTACAGAGTTTGAGAGCAGGCAGGGCTAGAATGACCCATTGATGCTGGGTTCTAGAGCAGGCAGGAGCGGGCATGGCCCATCGGTATGAGGTTCTAGAGCACACAGGCTCAAACATGACACATCAGTGCGGGGTTCTAGAGAAGGAAGGGTCAGACATGACCCATTAGTGTGGAGTTCTAGAGCAGAGGGGGCTGGAATGACTCATCGGTGCAGTTTTAGAGTGGGCTGGTTCGGACATGACCCTTCAATCCGGAGTTCTAGAGAAGTTGGATGTTTATGGCAGGAATCTCAATAGTACGCCTCCACAGGGCCTCACTGGGAAGAGCATGGGGGCTATCCTGGGTTAAGGGAATGCCCCTGGCAGGTCTGCGGGTGTGCGCGCTGTCACAGTGCAGCAGACTGGACATTTCAAGTCTGCACACCGTGCCCTACACGGCCTACGTCATGTGGTTCTCTTGCTGACAACGAATCAGTCGATTACTCCAGGGAAACTGTCTGCTGGCAGCTCAGACCACACACCCAGAGGTCAGGGCACCCTGCCAGGCAGCTCCCTAAATACCTCTTGCGACAAGAGGTGGCACTGGAAGAGCAGCCAGGGAGCTGCTGTCCACGAAGCTGGAAGGAGAGCAGAGTGGGCAGCCCCAGCACTGTGTTCAGAGCACTCAGAGGTGCAGGGTCTGCTCCCAGGGTTGGAAACAAGTATCTCAGCTGAAAGGGTGTGCCCTCCCTGGTGCAACCACCAGGTACCTGGGGCAGAGAACAGGCGAGTGCGAGGACACACGGCCAGAATGGGCAGGACACCCATCTGGTCCTCCCGTGATTGGCATCGGCCTGGCCCTGGGTCCTCACACTTCTGACCACGTGGACAAGCAACCCAGAGAGCAGAAGCCACTGGTCCCCTCACTCTGAGGAGAGGAACAGAACAGACAATGACCAGAAGCCAGCCCATGCTGGTGGGGACTGCACGGGTTGCTCAGAGCAGAGAAGCAGGAGCTCCCTGGGCAGGTGGAGCAGCCGCCATGTGCTGCCAGGAAGCTGGAGCCACCTGAAAGACCACGGGCCTGGCTCCCTGGCCAGTACACGCCGGGCACACTCATGACGCTGGCTGGCTGAGGAGGCTGTGGGGGGGTCGCAGCAGGAGATCCTGTCAAGGGGGCTTGTCTCTCTCCCCCTCTCAGTAAATAAACTAAAAAAAGAAAGCATGGCCTCCTTGAATCAGCTCCTCTGGCCTCTCCCAAAAAACACCCCAGAGGCCGGTGCAGACCACGTGGTATGTCAGCTGTTGGCCTGCCCGTGGTCGGCGACATGTGTACTCACACCCCTGCCTCTCGCCAGGGTGCTCAGACCCTCCTTGTGGGCCCTCCCTGCAGCTGCCGGCACAGCCTGCCCCACTGTCAGGGAGCGGCCCTGCCCTGTCCGTGTTCCCTGCAGGACCCAGGAGCCTGCACCTCACCTCTGGCCACCCATGGGGACGCTTGTGGCCAAGCTGCTCCTGCCCACCCTCAGCAGCCTGGCCTTCCTCCCCACCATCAGCATCGCCGCCAAGAGGCGCTTCCACATGGAGGCCATGGTCTACCTCTTCACCATGTTCTTCGTGGCGGTGAGTCTCAGTCGGGCCTAAGGGGAGGCCCAACACCCTGGGACCGGAGGGAGGGCCTCCTTCCAAGCTTTCCCTTGTCAGGAGGTAAAGAACAATGATTTGTAAGTGAAAGAGCCTAGGGTGGGCGTCCAGAGACAGGGTCCAGGGGTGCTTGCTCTCCAGACCTCGGTTTTCCCATCTGGGCTCACAGCGAGACCCAGTCCGTAGTGCGCCCAAGCCTGTCGGTTGACATCAAGCCCTTCCAACTGCCCCCTTCCTCCAGGATAGTCTCCCTGCCCCCGCCTCTCTTCTAGCGGTCCCAGTCCTTCCGCGGGGAGGGCAGGGTGAGCCAGGCCTAGGAGGGGGAGCCAGCTAGGGAATGCAAAGGCTGGGCAGGCGAGGTCCAGAGCCTGGAGCTCCCCCCAGTGCAGAGGGCCTGCTCCGATCGCTGTCTCTCCCTCTTCTTCTCGCTGTCTCTCCCTCCTCAGGGCTGTGTGAGTGTGTATGTGTGCGTGTGCGTGTGTGCATACGCATGTGTGTACATCCGTGTGTTGCTCATATGTGTGCATGTGTGTGCGCGTATGTGTGTGCGTGTGTTTGTGCGTGCGCGCGTGTGTGCGTGTGTACGTGTGTGTGTGCATGTGTACGTGTGTGTGTGTGTGCACACACGTCTGGGTGCCTCTTTCTCTCCACATTCATGTCTGGCTGGCCGGCTCCCAGCATGCTCTTTCTGGCGCCAGGTAACCGTCACTGGGTGATTTTATTCATCTTTGAGTGAAGCGTCCGGAATGCTGTCTGTTTTTTTGAGATCCACATTTCTAAGTCCTCCATCTCTCCCTCACATCTCACTCTCTGTCTCTCTCCCCCTGTGCGTCTCAAATCTGTGCTTCTCTCGGTCTTCAGCCTAATTTTCTCTCTGCCTCTCACTTCTTTTCTTCCTCTATTCACATCTGGTTCTCTGGATTTGGGGAGGGGAGTCCCCAAGGAACTTACTCTTTCTAAATCTCCTGTCTCCCCCTCACTCCTTTTGACCCCCTGACCCTCTGTGTATCTCTCTGGCATTATTGATCCATCCCACCAGTTGTTTCCTCTAACTCTGTCTCTCTCTATCTCTGCCTCTCTCTCTACCTATCATCTACCTATGCCAATGTATCTGTCATCATCTACCTATGCCTATCTCTCGCTCTCTCTGAATCTGTCCATACATCTATCGAACCTGTTGTCTACCTAATAATTGATCTGCCTGATCTGTCATCTCCCTGATCTGCCATGTCTCTGGCAACTCTCCACCCACCCATCTGCTCTCACCCGCCACCGTGCAGAGACCCTCCAAGCCTCCCCACCTGGCTCCATGCTGGCCCCCACGAGCAGCCGACCCGCCTCCCCTCTCCTGCTCCTCCAGCAGCCCTCTCTGCACTGACAGCCCTGGCCGGTATGATGCACACTGGGGAGGCAAGCGTGATACCAGCCCCTTCTCAAGGCAGCGCCTGACCTGTCAGAAACCGCAACCTCCAGCCAGCCTCCCTCCCCAGCAGCAGGGCTTATGTGGACAAGAATGCCCAGTGCCTGTGTGCACACGGGGCCAGCCCCGAGCACACACATGTGTCTGCAGACATGTGCTCACATGTCACACCTTCATCCCAACTTGGTTGAGTCCAATGTTGTCCACATGTGCCTGTGGGCCGGGGGCGTGTTCTGACACTCACTCCTCCTGGGTGCAATGCTCCCAGAGGTGACAGTGGCCTGGGACGGCTGGGCCGTTGGAGGAACCAGATGCCCTGGGTCTTCTGTCCCCACTGCTGGAGTCCAACAATGGTGAGGCCTTCAGGGCAGCATCCAGGCAGGTGGCGTCCAGGCAGGGCGGCACCAGGGCCCAGCACACAGTACATGTTCTGGTCTTCCCCCGCACGAGCCACCACAGTCATCCCTCCCAGTCCACGGGTTCCTTAATCGTGGGGTCAACCAACTGTAGTCAAAACCACTCAGGAAAAGCGGTGTCAAGGGTGAGCACGTACAGACCTTTTCCCTGGCACTGGTCCCAGCCCGGACAGGGCCTGCAGGTGGCTCCAGCTGGGCAGAGGACACACGGGCCCATGCAGGTACCCCACCCTCATGGGAGGGCTTGAGCACCTGCAGACGCTGGTGTCCACGGTCCTGGAGCTCACGCTCCCTGGACACTGAGGGACGGCTGTATGTGACTCCCACCTGACAGACGAAGAGATCAAGTCCCAGAGAGGACGAGCCCTGGGCACTCGGAGCTCCCGGGGTACAGAGCACTTTGTGACAAAGGAGTCCCCGTGATGGACGGCAGGCCAAGGCCCAGGCGAGAGCAGCTCCACTCTGTAGGTCCAAGGGCCTGAGAGTGAGGAAGAGGCAGGCCTTGTCCCCAAGGCCCATGCTAGACCAGCCCAGCAAACCACAGCCACCGCCGCAGCAGCCCTCCCCGCCTGCACCTGGCTGGCCGGGCAGCTGCCTGGCCCCACCCAGCCCCACCAAGGGCAGCAGGGACAGCTGCCTCCTGCAGCAAATGTCCTCCAGCCTCAGAACCACACCCCACCCCCTTCCCTCAAAGTCCCGAGCTGTGCACTGAGGCCGCCCTCTGACCAGAGCCCTCCCTGGTGAGCACATCTGTGCTAGTCACCTGCTGGACACCTGGCCACAGGGTCCCTCCCAAGCCCAGGAGACCTTGTCCCCATATGACAGGAGGGGACACCCGCCTGAGCCCCACAGCAAGGGCCTGAGCCCTGACCAACCAGGTCCCTGGCCACACCCCACACCGTTACTCTCAGGGCCAGTTCTGGGAAGTCCTGGAGGCCTGGAGGCTGGTGCCCGGCAGTGCTCTGCCCTTACTGCTGGGGCAGGTAGTGGCACTCATGCCTGTCAGCAGGCCACAGGCCTGGTGTGAGAGGCGTCTGCTGAGCTGGGGGACCCCTGCTCTCCTCAGACACTCCAGCCCACATGCAGCAAACTGCACGGGGAGCTCCTGATGGAGGCGAGGGCGCGGACACTGCCTGGACCCCCAGAGAACAAGGGTCAGCTCAGTGCGGTGGTCTGCGCCACAACGGACAGATGGGGAGGAGAGAGGCGCTTCTGGAAGGAGCCAGGAGAGCCAGGGACGTCACAGGGCCTGCGTCCTCCGCTTTCCTCTGCTCTGCAGAGGCTTCGTCACTGAAGCTGGTATTTCCCTGAGCTGGTCACATCTGTCACCTGGTCACCTTCCCCTTGTCAATGTCACTTCACAAAGTAAAAGGCCCAAAGGCCCAGTCATGATGGTGCCTGCTGCTAAGACGCTGTGCATTACAGTCCAGGATCACATGGGAGGCCTGGGTTCGAGTCCCGGTTCAACCTAAAGGCAGAGTGTCGTGGTGTGCACCGATAATTCCACTGACTCAAGGGCTGAGGCAGAAGGATCTTGAGCTGGAGGCTGGCGTGGGCGACTTAGCAAGACCCCGTCTGAAAGAGAGTCGGTATGGGCATGATAAGGCAGGAGAGCCAACTATGGCGAGACCCTGTCTAAAATAAACAAACCTGGGCCAGCGGTTAAGGCAGCCAGATCCCACAGGGCCGACTGCGTGTTTGAGCCCCAGACCCTGGGGCATGAGGAACACCAGGCTGGATGCACCTGGCGTCCTACAGGAGGGGAGGAGAAGGCATTGCTGCATGACCGTCCCCTAGGGCTGCTTCCGCTCTTCGTCTCCCCCTCCGCCTCTCCCTGACGAGCCTCGTCGACGCAAATTTTAGAAACAAAGCAAAACAAGGAGGCACTGCAACCAAGGCCCGGCACGGTCCTGGGTGGTTGGACCGGACACGATGGGCTGGTCTCCCCGTCGCAGTGCGGTCCTGGGTGGTCGGACCGGACACGGTGGGCTGGTCTCCCCATCCCGGCATGGTCCTGGCTGGTAGGACAGGACACCGCGGGGGAGGGTTCCGGCGTGGTCCTGGGTGGTCGGGCAGGACACGGCGGGCTGGTCTCCCCGTCCCGGTGCATCTCTAGTCCTCCTAGGCGCACCTTCACTCCAGGGCACGCACAATGGCTGCCTCAGGGGCTCTCTGGACCAGGTGGGCCTGGCTGGCTCTGGCACTCCAGGTCACCAGCCCGGCTCCCTCTGAAGCGTCCTGCCGCCTCCGGACTAACCCGCTCTCCGAGCTGCTGCCCCGCCCCAGCCGAGCTGGGCTTGCGCAGGGCCAATTGTGCTGGCTCCCAAACTTGTTTATGCCAGTTGAACTTGTCAAAATAATTCTGTCATGTCATTAAGTATAAGGGCCTGGCTGGCTCTGGCACTCCAGGTCACCAGCCCGGCTCCCTCTGAAGCGTCCTGCCGCCTCCGGACTAACCCGCTCTCCGAGCTGCTGCCCCGCCCCAGCCGAGCTGGGCTTGCGCAGGGCCAATTGTGCTGGCTCCCAAACTTGTTTATGCCAGTTGAACTTGTCAAAATAATTCTGTCATGTCATTAAGTATAACTTAAAATGGTGAAATGTGGCTGCACCGGGAGAGGTCCGTGAGGGGTAAACGGCCGCTTCGGAAAGGCTCCGGGTCGGCCTCCGGCAGCAGGGCTTCCTGTAAACCAGCGGGGAGACGACCGTGCGTTGGGGGAAGAGGGTCCTCAAAGGCCGTGCTCAGCCCTGCCGGGGTCCCGCAGGCGCTCCCCCACCCTAAGGAGCAGGAAGGAGGCTCGGGGTGTGCTAGTGAAGTGTGGCCTCCTGGGAAGGGGGTTGGGCAGTCAGAGGACGCTGCTGGGCTGAGGCCAGGTACAGTGGTGACTGAGCAGGGACAGCCCATGAGCCCAACAGGCATCCAGGGAGAGGCCACAGCCCCATATGTGAAGAAAGGCCAGTAAGTCCCCACCCCAGCAGGCCTCTGCTGAGTGACCGCCCCGCCCAAAGGGCCGTTCACGGGGCCCTTGCCACCCCTAGGCCCTGGGCACCCGAAGATGGGCAGTAGTAGCTGTGCCCGTCTCAGGCAGCAGAGCCGCCACGCGACTCGCCCAGGGCCCCACAGCTAGTGAGCAGCCTGGCTCTCTGGGGGCCTGCGCCCGCCCCGCCTGTCCATCCACCTGCTGACCGCCCGTGCTGTCCCGGCAGCTCCACCACGCCTGCGCCGGGCCGGGCCTGTCCGTGCTGTGCTTCTTGCGACACGATGTCCTGGAGTACTTCAGCGTCTACGGGACGGCTCTGAGCATGTGGGTCTCCCTGATGGGTGAGTGCTCTCGCCGGGCCGGCCCTGCTCCCCACCGCAACGCCCGTGCATCCACTCTGTGCAAAAGACTCGTTCAGTCTACGTCGCCGCCGTCCCCGCTCCTGCCCTGGCCGGAGCTCAGGCCTCCTCAGGGCGGAGCTTCCTCTGCTATCCTGCCACTTCCCCCACCTGCCCGCCGGACTCGTGGTCCCACTATGTCCCAGCCCTGTCCCAGCCCTGTGAGGGTCAGATCTGTCACATCTCATGCCACGGTCCCCGCATCCCCTGGGATAGACTCGTTTCTGCCCCTCGCTAAATGATCTCCAATACGGGCTACCCGAGCCTGGCCCAGCTCCCCTGGCCACAGCGAACCTGTGGGGCCCCGCGGTCTCACTGGCTGAGGGGCATCATGCGTGGGGCCTGGGGGGCAGCCCGGAGGAGAAGAGGGACCGCTGACCTCTCCCGTTTCTCTCCCGCTCCTCCAGCCCTGGCCGACTTCGACGAGCCCCAGAGGTCCACGTTGGTGATGTTTGGTGTCTTGACCGTGGCCGTGCGGGTGTTCCATGACCGCTGGGGCTATGGAGTGTACTCAGGCCCCATCGGCACAGCCACCCTCATCATCGCCGCGAAGTGGGTGGGTACCGGATGGACCTCGGCAGCCAAGGGACACGGGTGGGGTCTCCCCGGGTGTAGGCCTCCCTGCTGGAGGGCCACCCGAGGTCTCAGGGCCCCTGTGAATGTCGGCGGACCTGGCTGGTCCCGCCCGAGCCAACCCTTTGCCACCC